ATTTCAAAGCTTTTTTAAGAGGTCTGATTTGTGATTAGGATGTTTTTCTATAGTTTATGTGTTAAACGCAGGAATTATATTAACTGTGTGTAAAACAGAGCACGAGTTAGGTTGTTAAAGGGTGCTATCTAGTGGACAACAGTAAATTAAAGTTCAGTATGTGGATAACTGAAGTGCATCTTTCTCTGATGCCTTAAATGTAGTACTGTAGTACTTATAGCAAAATACCACATTCACTGCAGTAATTGGAACGATAAGCTCTCCTTCCACTAACGAGTTTAAATCATATTCTTCATTAAGTAGATAAAAAATCTGGAAAATTGCAAAATTTATCATCAGATCTCTAAAAACGTTGTTTTAAGTTTCTCATTAAATGTTTTTTCTCCTCCGTTGTGTGTTATTTTAATTTCAATATTTAATCATTTTTTATTTGTATATTGTTCTGTGTTGTCATAAAAATAAAGCGGTAATAGAAAGTGAATCTGCTGCTAAAATTACGGCAGATTAAATCAAGCGTCAGTCTGAAACATTTAGAAGAGCGGCTTGGTGAAATAACTTATTTAGATTGTTTGATCTGCCCGTTTTACTTCCTGTAGTGGAAGAGCGTTGTCATGGTAACCTACTGAACTGACCGCTTACTCCCGCCATTTTTTTTTCTTTTTCCTTGGCGGCCATGAGGTAATATGTTGTTTTGTTGTTATTTGTCTACTTTAAAACATAAATAAGGGTTTTATGGATAAATACCTAAATTTTAGATCCCTGAAATAAAATGTTTCTGAAAGCTAACCATTAGTTAGCTAGCATTAGCTTAAAATTAGCCTGATTTTAACAAATGTAAGTAAAAACCATACGTTAGATCTAAACGCAGTAACTGTCTCCTTTGGGAATTTTACAAGTTGTAACGTAATTTAAATTCTGAAAGGCTTGTTATTGCTTATTATTAAGCACTATTTAACCTTTTTTGGAGGAGTTAATCAGCATAAAGCCGCCACGGTTAGTCGAACAAATTTACTCTTTCTTTTCAAAATAAAGCAAGAAACTTTTCAGATTTAAATAAAATATGGTTTATGATGAATAGTTATCAATTTTATGCCACTTGTTACAGAAAAGAACACGTGAAAACAACACCGTGCATTTTACACCGCCATCTTTGCTAATGTCAATTAGCGGTGGCGGCCATCTTGAAACGGGGCGACGCTTAAAGCTAACGTATTAGTTTGTTTATCACTTTCTGAGGGTTTCATTTCAATGTGTCCTTTAGTTTATGAGCTATTTTCCTAACAGACCAACAAATCTTAACAGTTAATCTCAACGTTTAAGCAACTCATTTGCATTGGAGAGCAATCAGAGTGTGTTGAGGATGACGCTCAGCTACTACCACACCAAACTTTAATATCTGCTGAGTTATAGACGGTTTACGTGGCTAACACAGTGACGTTCAGCCTAGTCTTCATCCCTTGTTTTGATTCTCTGTAGCAGTCCAGAAGAGATGTCCTGGGAGCCCCCGCAGGACTCACTGCAGCAGGTGGCAGCTCGAATAATTCAGAGGGCCTGGAGAAGACGTGTGGTAAGTGCCATGGGAACGCTTGAATGTACACAACAATGACATAAATCTGCGTTATTTGTAGGGGTGCACGGTATTATCGGCATCAAGGTATCGGTATCGGACGATTTTAGCGATAAAGTTAAATATCGGACATCGGCCATTCCATCAAAATAACTCACCGATATAAAAGGCGCTGTTTTTTTATTTTTACATTTATATTTTTATATAGTGTTACATGATTTTCAGCTCCCTTTTGGGCATCTGCATTTGGTAGCAGGCGAAACTGACAAAGACCTTGCAGAATAATGTGGTATTTTAATTCCACAGCAGAGAGAGCTCTGTAGTCTCTGTAAGTAGGTCTAGGGAAAAAAATATCGGTATCGGCCAAATAAGTTTTAACATATCAGCCAATCGGATATCGGCCAAAAATCCAATATCGTGCATCCCTAGTTGTTTGAACTCTATTTGCAGAGCAGATCTGTCTCCAGGTACCTAAAGCTGCTGATCGCCCGCTGCAATGACCTGGATCCACGGACCGTCCTCAGAAACGTCAATCCTCGAGAGGTAACCGCGGTCAAATAAAACGGTTCGGTCAAACAAAATTCAATCTGCTTTGTGTGTCGCAGGCAGAGCTGCTGGACTCCGCGGCCGGGGTGATTATTAGATTTCGACTTGGAGGGGTAAGAAAATCCTCAACTTTCTAAATATCATCAACAACCTGCTCACTTGTAGCTTCTATCTCTGCGTTCAGGTCACCTTCCCTCCCAGTATCTATTACAAGATCTTCACCTATCGGCCCATTGCGGACGTTTGTGCGAGCGCCCAGTGGGACCACAGGCGTAAGGAGGCCGCGGCCCAGAGGGGCGGCACGGGCTGGTACCAGCGCACGGAGAACAACAACTGGAGGCTTTTCTCATGCAAGGTGAAGCAGAAAGATCCCGACGCAGTTTAAATGTAGCCGATGTGCTGAGAGCGGACGTGACGCTGTGTCTCCGGCTGCGGCAGGCGGTGTGCGTGGACGAGCCGGTGGAGGTGGGCACCAACAGAAAATTCGGCTTCCACTTTTCCAAGTTGAAGCGGAGATGGGAAGTGGAGCGGTGGAGGAAGACGAGGAAAATCGAGTGGATGAAGAAGATGTGAGTTGTGGATTTGATCAACCTAAGACAGGGGTCTGCAACGTGCGGCTCTGGGGCCACATGCGGCTCTTTAGCTCCTCGTCTGTGGCCCTTTGAAGCTTCAAACAAAGCTAACTCGAAATACCACAACAGAAAAGGCCAATTTTCTGAAATTACGTGAATATTACTACTAAAGCAGTGGGACCAGAAACTCTTTGGGGTATTTTTAGGACAAGAACGAGAATTAGAAAATAATAAAACATAATTTAGGCAAAT